GATGGTGTTTTGCATTTTCCCAATAGTAAAGAGTGACATGAAAAGAAGAGTCATGACTGTACCATTCCTTGACATGGGTTGTATTTTTCCAGCAATCTGCCAAAAACATGCAACCATTAATCGTAAGCGAATGAATAAAGTAGAAAAACAAATAAACAAATGAAATGGAAACAGAGACTTGAGGTGTTAAAAGAACCAACCTGTATTAACTTCATCACCACCCAAGTGGAAAAACTCAAATGGGAATATCTTTCTCATATCTGCTACAAAACAAGGCGCAAGAGAAAATCTGAGAATCGAAACAGGACATACAAATTGATGTACATATATTAACATAATAGTACAAAAATTAAGATGCAAGACATATGAAGCTAGATTGATCAAGAAGATTATCCTAATAAGTTTTTTGCCGCATCTCAAGCTTAACTTTTTCTTTACAAGATTAATACTACTTTGATTAGAAATATAGAGAAGGAGCAATGTTTCAAATGTATGAACAATACATGGAGAAAGGAACTAACTACTTGAAGTAGACCTGCCAAAATGCCAGAAATCACATCGAACGTAAAGTTTTTAGTAACGTCAAGCGGCTCTCGGCAAGACAGAGACGGCCAAAGATCAGGGTATCCAGTTCCCCTGCATTTGAAAGCAAACCATACGCTCAAAGCGGATAATGAAAATGAAGATAATGATAGCTTAAACCCCTAAACCGTAACTCATTTCCAAATCTTAAAAACTTAAGAAACTATGATGCTACTCGGATATTACAATCTCAGCCGGAACATAAAAAACCTGTGCTTGACTAATGCTAATGTGGACACAACGTTTAACTAATTCAGTTTTAGTTTCTTACCATGATTCAGCATGGCCAGGAACATCTATTTCAGCCATGACATTGATACCTGCAACAAATATCTCAACCATGAGAAGTATAATCAAATAGAAATTTGTTTAGAATCATTCTCAGCTTAAACTTTTAGGAGTAGGTACCTCTCATTTTGGCAAACCTTCAAAGTGGAAATCGCAAACAGACCATGAAACACAAAAAAGGATATTCTTTAGTAAGCTGAAGAATATTTGATATATTCATTTACTCAGTCGATCGAATATGCATGTACATACAAAACTTTGAGCCATTACCTGACAATCTCCGAGGCATCCTCAACTGTATAACGCTCCCATCTCGAATAAGCTCCTTTCCACAAATTAGGATATGTAGGAATTTCTAGAGGAAATGATTGTTCGTCTACAATGTGCCAATGCAGGACATTCTACCTCACATAACCGCCCATCGGAAAAAGACGAGATTTAATTAGATGTCAGATAAATCTTGAAAAAAAGTTAGCCACGAAAAAACAAGCATGATTGCTTACAAGTTTAGCAAAGGACATTGACTCAATTACTTGCTTTATAACATCAATTGGTAAATAATGTCTTGATGTATCTGCAAACGGAATAAGTAGCAAGTAAATATCCAGCGCATGATTGCGAGCCCTTTCCGTGTGATGGAACCGAAAAAGAAGAGAATTATGAGCGATTACCTATTAAAAGACCACGGTACTGGAATCTAGGTTTATCTTGAATAAACCAGGGTGCTTTATATATTTGCACAGATTTGGTTAGATAATCAAAGGTGCACAATTGGCTAAATGTCTGCAAGATTTTCAGAAAATTAGTACACAGAATTAGGAAATAATCCCTGACACTCACTAGAAACTCAAATAGGGAGAAATAGCTGTGCAAAGCCAAGCAAATTATAACCTCATTATGCAAAACAAATGAGAATAACATTCACTATACTCTTAAGAGCATTATTACTCAAATACTTACATACCTCCAATCCTCTAAGAGCACCATAGACTGTAATAGCCTGAAACCACAAGGAAAAAAAGACAATAAGATTATCTAACACAGACACATTCCTCATATAAAGAAGGTACAATAACAGCAGCAAAACCTCGATCGTGGCAGCTCCTACAATCGATTGCTCGTTCTTCTTCGACACAAACAATGTATAACTCTCATCAACACCTAACCGAAGCTGGAAATTTAACAGAACACTAACCAACTCAATCGTTGCCACAATCTATTCCACAATTCATCAAAGCAATAAATTCCACCAAAAGCGTCAAGA